AGAGCTTTGTTAGACACTTCAGGAAAGTCTAGTATGGATCTAGATGGTGTCAGTTATGAAATGCTGAAGCATCTTTCCTGCTCTTCCCATTGTCTAGCCTTCTCACAATCTACAGCCAAGTGTAGAAGGAGCATGCTTTTCCCAGTGCATGGATGAAAGCTGTTATTATTCCCATAGCTACGCCAGGGAAAGACCCAAAGAATCCCTTGAGCTATTGCCCCACACAGACTTCTGTCCTTGCTTTACCTCGTCCCATTTTAATAACTTCCTGATCACTTGTATTATAATATCTGCGCATTGCTGCTACAAAGTTGTCCAAATCTTTAGTGAGCTTCAATTGGGATTAACTAGGTTTTACCACCTTAAAAAATATCTGAGCTTTAATGCTTGCAGGTAATTAATATTTTAATTAATCCAGTATAAAAAGTTTAAACTTCTCTGAATTGTGAGTAGATGTCAAATGCTGCCTCAACTCTCATTATGCACTGAGTGTACATTTTTTCATATTATTTCGTACGTCTTTGCAAGTTGTTTTTATGTTGAAATGGAACTTGAGTTCTTTGCGTTTGTTATCTTGGCATAGTTATTGGAATTCTTTTCTTGTAGCTTTGTGATCAAACATTTTAATTTCACTTTTAAACTCTGCAGAATAATTTTACCTTTGTGTTCTTCAGGAATTTGTAGAGGCTTAACCTAAGTTCTGCACAGTGCAAAAAGAATGGCCATTCCTCAGCTTTGGATAAGAGATTAATCATGATTCTCTTCATCTTTAAATGCTTCAGGAAATCAATTCCCTTATTTTATGAATCTAACACTGCTTTATTGTGTGAGCTCAATTTTTCCTCATTATCCTTTAACTTATTGATTTGGATTTCAAACTTCTTTTTGTCTGATGTTTTCTTTCAAATTGTCTTTTCTGAAGTTCCATCTCTCTTTTCCAATCTTTAGCTGCATCTTCTTCTAGTTTATACCTTTCTAAACTGTAGCTCTATTTTTTTAATTTAATTTGAGTTTGCATGTTCCTAATGCTTTCACTCGATTCCTCCAACATCTTTTCTCTGTTTTTGTTTTTAGGGCTGAAAGCAACCTTCAATATTTCTATTTTACAGATTTAAACATATATTAGTATGGATAGAGTTTGATTTTACAGCCTTTGGTGTGCTTCCAATTATTCATACACCAATTACTCACTTAGCAAGTATAAACTTTGAATAATATTTGTTTCATATGATAACCATTGAAATATGTATTACAATATGACATCAGATATCAAATATAAACTCATCTTTTTATACCTTTAAATACCTTCGATAGCATAATGAATTGCTTTTTAACAATTAGTATTATGTTGTCACCATAATCACTTATTCCTTTTCTGATATTACCATTTGACATGCTTTATACAATACATGTTGTTATACTAGTAATTGTTGAAACCAATTTATTCCATAAGAGTGCTAATTATCTTCCCTAACAATACAAAAATATTTTAAAACATATTAATAACATAAGTAGACTATAAATAAACTGTTTACTTAAATATCAGGTCTAACTTTTGTTATTTGTTCACTTTTTGGCTTGATATAAAAATATCCTACCTTTTACTTTTTTATCAGTTGCACCTAGATGGTAAAGTGGTTAGGGGAGCCAACTGCAATACTGAAGGGCCTGAGTTCAAATCCCAGAGAGAAGGCATTGTTGCAAGTGTTCGTCCCTTCATAGGAGGTAACGGTGGCCGCACAATAAAATGGCCAACACTTCTGGCCTTAGGAAAGTGCAGTGTCAAAAAAAGGCAAAAAAAGTGCCTGTTGTAACGTTTTCATCAGTTACATTCCTGCCAATTTTCCATGATTTGCTCTCAATATGTATTGATTAAAATCATAATTGACTCATTAAAATACGTTAACAGTACAATTAAAATATCTGTGAATAATTATTTCCTTTTTTTCCCCCATTTTTGTGTTTCCCAAGAAAAAAAGTGGGACTTACCTCCAGCATAAAGGTGCTCTTGCCCTTAATCCTTTGTGGTCATACGTCTATTTTCAGCCACCAAAGATTTTTTACCATTCCAATCCATGTCTACTCTCATCCACGAAAGCTTTTTTTACTTTTCCAGTCTTATGTCTCTTCTCAGCCACTGTTTATTTCTGGTAAGCAGTAATTGTGGTATCATGTGACTGTATTTCCTTTTGTAAAAATCAATTCTCATCCAATATTTGTACCAACATTTAATCTTTTCTAAACATTAGCTTGATGTATTAATAGATTTTTCTGTGCATAAATTTGCATTTCATGTGTAGTGATCAGGTGCTTCGATGAAGCCTCTGTAGTTGCTTGCTTGTGTCGCCATCTGTTAACACCAGTGAGAAGTGCAGCATCACATGAGCAGGACCCAAACCCGAACCTGGAGCGGTTTATTTCAAGGAGTATTCTTTACCGCTAGCCCAAAAAAGCTCCGTTCTGCTAGTTTCAAGAATTCCAACTCTTTCAAATTTGCAAGCGTTGAGTTGTTCTCGAGATTGCTACATATGCATTTACATTTAACACACCACAACATGCTTCATATTATACACACATTTGTATTCATTAATGTTGTATTATAACTACATTTTATTACTGCATGACTACTTTTCTGAATTTGGAATGTGAAGGAAAAGCTAGTTTCAAATCAGCATTAATTTATCTGTATTTTCCTTAGTTGTTGTATTAAAAATTTTCACATGACTAAAATGGTGGGAAAGCATATCTTGCAACAATTAAAATGTTACTATTGTGCACTTATCAGATTATAACCTAAACAATTCACTTTAAAACTTTGCCTTGTAATCCTTTTTTTTTTTGTGACTGTTTGCTGCTTGTGAGCCACACCTCCTTTCTTACTAGTATTTAGCTATCTCGGATTGGCTATCTAGTATTTAGCTATCTTGAAATGTTTTAATTCTGTAGTGAGCAGTATGTAAAAATATACATGAAGATGATAATATTGATCATATAGATAAATTTCAGTATCATACACAATCAACAGTGAAATTCTTATGTAAGGAAACTAGTAATTAGATCATGTGGAAAGTTTTGCATTTTTGCAAATCAAAGCATGTTTTCTTTGAATTATTTTGTTACTGGTGATAAGGAGGAATCTTGTTAGAAGCAGGTATTAATAAATATGGTCTGTCCTGCTCATGTTGCATAATTCTAGCATGTGTTATTGCTTAAGTTTTATTTTAATGTAGTACTAAGAATGGAGAACCGAAAAGTTCATATAGTCATATTATGCTCTTTTATTTAAAAGAAAATGCAAAATGTGAATGAGACTCTTCTTCCTAAAATTTCTGCTGTATTTGTAGACAAAGTGGTGTTTCTGATGACACAGTCTTAAGGTAGTTCAAATAGTGTGAGATATTGAGACTCCTTATATTTTGTAATTGTATTATTGTACTGAGATTGTATTTGATCTTATTAAGCAGTGTACGGAAGTAATCGTCCAACGAGACTATATTAATATGAGATGATTAAAATATTGTTGCTTGTGTGCGGGTTCATTATGAATTGAATGCAAAATAAAACAAAATGCTTAAATTTCATCAGATATTCGTACAATATCCCAATATCTCACAGTAGTTATCTTTTATACTACTAAAAACATTCAACAGAGCAAATTCAAAATAGAGAAAGCTAGTCTGATTTCACCGCAAGTTCACTTCAGTCAATAACAGCAGTTTTCTAAGCAAATCTCATAAAACAACTATCTGAATTTAGAGGTTTTCCTCCCTTTTATAAGCTTTTTAAATCTCGCGCTAGATTGTTCTAGCAATTTCTTGAAATCAAAAAGAGATATTTATTGAATGTTAAATGCATGTGCTATTGTATTTTTAATTTTCCGTCTCAGCTTTCTTTTAATATTTGTCACACGCTGCACTGCACGGGGAATAAAACTATTTAATTTATAATTCCACTAACATTAGCTATTTAAATACCAATTCCGTAACAATATTTATCCCAGCTCTTTCTTATTTCTATAATTTCTCACAATTTATTTGTAACTTGGCAAGGAAAGGCCCGTTCATCAAGAATAAGTAGGCTATCACTGTTTGTGAAAGTAGATGCATTAGAAAATGACATATGTCTGTTCCGCAATTACCATTTAGCCCAGATGAAATTTATTCAGCACATAATCTAGTGAGTACAAAGCAAGGTATACGAGTTTTACATGCTTTTTTTTAAGAAGCTGCCCAGATGATCTAGTGGTTTGGGGAGCCTACTGTGGTACCGAAGGGACTGGGTACGAATCCCAAAGAAGGCATCGTTTTAACTGTGCATCCTTTCATAGGAGGCAATGGTGATCACCTGTTAGGTGCCTCCACATTAAAATGGCCACCACTTCTGGCCTTAGGCATGGCCAATGCTGAATAAGCAAGTGCCTGCCATTGGATTAAAAAAAAAGATGCTTTAAGGAGTTGCTTAAAGGTTTATAATGTTTTATCTTTGTTATTTCTGTGCAGAATGTGAAATACTTCTGCCTTTAATGCAGGAAAGTACTGTTGCATAATAACATTTATAGACTATTGCTTAATGTTGTTAATATGCTCCAGAATTTCAATATCCGTTACATTCTTGCTTTTTTCCTTTTAATTGCAGAGAAAATAATTCACCAAGAATCTGAGAATTGATTATGCACATTTTATTCCATATCATGTAAGGAAGTGTTATTTGAATCTGTCTGACCCAGGCTGTAGAACACAGCCACTGAATGAAATATTTGAAATAAATGAAAATATTTTCTTCATTTAAACTTCAGTGTAAATACACCATATAGTGTAATATGTCCACATCTTTTCATCTAAACTTTACATAAGCTTAAAATAATGTGGTTTAAAAATGTGGGTAAAATTGATTGCATATAGGAAAATTAGAATATTGGAAACAATCTGTATTTGTTCTGATAAAATGTTTGCTATTGGGTGTTAATATCAAATTTACCATTTTGTAAAATTTATTTTCAGATCATAGATAAATTTTATGCGCTAATGTGGATTGTCATGATTGCAAACGATGCTGTTGGTGGTCGTGAATGTCTAGAAGAAGGGAGAGCTTTGGTGTACGGATGCATAAGATATTGCTGCAAACATGTATTCCCACCTTTTATACCGAAAATAAATGAAGCACCAAAAAAAGTGATCACGGTGAAAATGCCTAATGGTAATTTTTTTTTAATATAAATTAATTTTTATTTCATTAAGCAATTTAAAAAGAAGCCTTAGTTCAATAGACAGGGTAATATTACAATGAATTTTTCCACTAATCAGATTTCCACTGCAAATTATAGCAAAGCATGTTGTAATCAGTTTATAATGTATTTTCTTCCTCCTAGCAGTGGCGTAAATAAGGGTATGCAAGGAATGCCGCAGCATAGGGGCCCGAAGGCTTAGGGGGCCCTTAAATGTCCTGCTGAACTAACTACATTTACATGTTTAAACTTAAAAGACAGATTCCATTACATATATATAGAAGCTTTAATTCATTTTCCCTTGATGGATTCGGAATTAGAATTTCAATAAAAGAAGATTAATTATTATTTTTATATTTTTCATCTTGTATTTTTTCCCTTTTACTTTTCTTTTTTATTTTTAAAATTTGTACTACTATAAATTCTTATTTTAATTTTGATATGTTTTGATTTTGTGTTAAACCTCTTTTGCACGATTGTTAACATTAATATAGTTGAGGAATAGCCTTGATTTGACACCTTGATTTTACTTTTAACTTTAAAATCTTTAAGTATATGTAGATAATAGAATTTGTTTTCTTTTAATTTTTTACGGGCCCCTACCTGTATGGTGCAGTGACGCAATTCTCTGTATGATGCAGATAGGAGGCCCTTGGAAGCACCCGAAACAGCTAAATTCAAGTGTGTGCAAAAGTTAAAATTCCAGCATTCGACTATGAAATAATAACTTCATGACCTACCCCAGTTTAGGGATAGCAGTGAGCGGAAAATAGGAAAAGTTCCTTTGTATTCCTTAGTCTCAAACCTGAAAATTATTAAAGGTGACCCTCTAAAGGAAAGAATTCTCTTCTTGCAGTCCCAAATAAAATGTGGCGGCTGTGGAAATTAATTGTAACTATTTATTATAAAGTACTTATTTATATATTAATTTGTTTCTGTATAATTAGCATTATGATCGAATAATCAGTAGACATATTTTCTAAGTATATAAGGTATTTCTCCCACTTCCTTAGCGTGCCTTCGTGGTGTAACGGTAGCACGCTGGGCCAGTATTCCAGAGGTCCGTGGTTCGATTCCCGGCGAAGGCAGTTGCATATTTTTCATCTTTTCTGCTTCTAACTAACCTAATGACTCTACAAGTATAAATCAAAGAAGTAACTAGACAGGATTCTGGTACTTTGGAAATAACTTTGCAAGTTAAGAGAAATCGTGATATATTATTTGCAGTTTGGAATTTTCATAATATGTCATTTGGTAGCGTTTAATTTTGTTCATATATTGAATCTCTTACTAGCTTTTCCATTAAACGCAAGTCCAAAAATCAGTCCTAATATTCAATTTGAAATTGAATTTATTAATGTGAATGATTCTTTGGCTTGCTATAAACGGCGTATCACTTTTCAAATTGTTGCCAACCAAATAATTTCACCCTGTATTATTTTTAAAGAAATTAAATAAGGAAAAATCTGCATGTTTGAATGTATAATTCTCACAATGTAAAAAATGATGGTACGTGCAACCTGTGCAGTCGCACCAAGAGGCAAGGTAAGGGACAGAAACATTTTGGATTTAGAAGCACAATTGACATTACAAAATGGAAAAGTTAAAGGCGGATTGATTTTTTCCCTCTGTTTTTTTACAGTAATAAGCTGGAGGGGGGAATCATTTTACGAATGATTCCCCCCTCCAGCTTCAGCCCCCTGCAGCTCCAGTATTAATTGCTAATTCCAGAATACATGCTTTTCTTTCTTAAGGACACAAAATCATTGATGTAAGTTGAGCAGTTGTGGCATGAAAGGACTTTGCCCCACCCCCACGTCGAAATGCCGTTCTAGTCCAGGAAACGCAAAGATTTTATGGCACTACATTTGGAAAGGAGAGATTTCTCGTTCGGCTTAGGGATCTTTGAATGAATTCAAGATCCGAAAAAAAGGGCGGGAGTTTTACGACAGGCTACGAACACACAGATGCTCAAACATTTTAAGCGGCCAAATATTTCAGTTAATGTCCTGAATGATGAAATAATAATGAATGAATAATGAATAATGAAATTTTTTTCATTAAATTTATCGAAATTCATTATTTTTTCACTCATGGGGGTAAGAAATGGAATGGATGAATATTTTTACTTGAAATAATGAGTAAATAAATATTTATCGAATTTTTCATATCAAAATTTTCAAAATATTCTCACATTGCAGATAAAAATGCAGGTTAGGAATTCTTTAAAATCCCTAATCGAGAATTAAATCTGAAAGCGCAGAACTCGTTTGAGGATTTACTTGATTTGCTTTAGAAAAGAGAAGAGCTGTAGTGTTTCTTAACCAGTAAATTATCCATCTACCAAAAATCCACACTTATCTGTAAAAGATAATTCTGAAGACATTAAATTTGTTTTAAAGTAATATATTAATCTCTCTTCGTTTGAAAAAAATATAATAAATTAAATTTTTTTAACAACATGAAACATTTAAGCGTATAATTGAGTAATGCGCAATAATTTGTACGTTATTTAAATGGAATTGAATTGAATTATTATATAATAATAAAGCACTCGAGGTCTATTTGCCTAAGGGAAAGAACGTCTTCATAGAGTACTTTCTGATTGTTATTTGAAATGAAATTTTACAATTTACTTTTGCTTTTAATTTACTTTCCACAGCATTCAGTACGTGAAATAATCAATAATAGTATAATAATGATAATAAAAATGACATCACACAACTAAAAGTATATACTACTTCGTAAATTTCGATAAATTAATTACTGAAAATATTTAAACATATCAATGGCAGCGTTGCTCTAATAGTTTTATGTTGCATTTCAACATCTGAAAGAACGCGAATTACATTGCTATTTTCACTGCACAAACGAATGGAATATTTCAGAAAAGAATGCTCCCCCGTTATTGCAATATTTCAATAATTTTTGAAAATTAAAAAATTTAATTAACACGTTTTAATAGTAAATGATGCGATTTTCACTCATAAAATCCCTTTGTACATTATTCTCTTTCATTTCAGCATCACTGCATAACTTATCTAAGACATACATAGCTTCCATTAATATATGTTCCCTTACATTATATTTATTTTTTATATTTTTGTCATTAATAAATTAATAAATAAGATAAAAAAATTGATACTGCTTAATTTATAAGCAATGTAAAGACTGGAAATCTGAGGTCATTAATTTCCGAGACATAAACTAGCTTTCTAAGGATGCAAATAAAACAGACAACAGTAATCATAAATATTAATGCTTCCTAAAATATATACCGCTTTTCCTAACTGATTTTTGCTTTCTGATCCACCTGGGGTACAACAAACCTATTTTCATTAAATGAAGTTTCGCGTATTTCTCTACGAACTACGCAAAACTTGTTTCATTACAATTTTATTTTTACTAATTATGAAAGAAACTTTATACTTGTTTCCTAAACAAAGTATTTATGTGTACTATTTTTAGAATCCATGCGACAGAGTGTGAGTACTTCATCTTCAAATATATGTTAGTGTCAATAAGCTTAACTCTAAATTATTAAACATTTCTGGGACCTTGAAACTTGGAAGAGAATCATCATATTTTGCTACAGTGGGTATTTAAATTTAGATAAATCCTCATACCATAAATATTTTGTGTTTAATTTTAAAATTTCCATTTCGTATTACACAATCATTTTCAAAGCTGCTTGGATACATATCAATAAAATTTGTTTCTACCTGTTTATGATTTCATCGTAAACTTGTGAAGAATTTCCTAAAAATATCCGAATATCCATAATTTTTACTGTTAAATATTTAATAATTATACATTAACTGAAATGCATTTACAGTACAGAGAAAATGTAGAAAGATATTGTAGGTGATGTATTAGGTATCATTGGAATATGACAATAATAATAGTACAATTTGACTGAAGGGAAAAAGAAAAAAACAGATGTTTCAGCATTTTAAAAGGGAAATGGACAATGGACATCTTTACAGTAAATTCTTCGATGAAAGTTTTACTAAGACTCAACTTGGGAAGATGTTAGTTTGGTACATTTATATTTACCATATTGGCAGCACCAAGCTCCTTCTCTGAGTGCGAGCTATGGATGCCGTTGTAATGTTGTGCACGTGTTGTTAAGTTTCAATAAAAAATGTGAAAAGATACGTTTCTTATTTTTCGACTTGCTTCTTCATATGATATCGATTTGTTAACATAATAGCAGTTCTCGTGGTTTGTGAATATGAATGAAGAATTTAGTACTTATAATTTGTTATAAAAGTTACCAGTACTAGCGTAAAAATGGCATGTACAAGAAGCAGTGATATCAGCATACCGCTATTTGATGGTTCGGACTATTTTAATTGGAAAGTGCGTATGATGAAATTTCTTCAATTTAAAAAGTGTAAAGATGTGGTTCAGCGAAAAGTCAGTGAAAAACGATGACGTGGAAAAATGGGAAGAAAAGGATATCCAAGCTACAAATTACATTTACGGCGCCATAACAAACAAGCAATTGGAATATATATTCACGAGTGTGAGACTGCATTTGATATAATTACGAAATTTGATGCAATGTATTTAAAAACTTCAACATCTCTACAAATTGTTGTCGAAATAACTTAGAATGTGTGAAACTGAAAAATTATCTCGATGTAAATATATTTTCGATGATTTTTAGAAGTATGTGAACGAGCTGAAACATGCCGGCGCACCGTGACGGAACAAGAAAAATTGAACTATATGCTAAGAGCATTACCTTCAAATTACAGTCACATTGGTGACTTAATAGATGTATTACCAGAGAAGGACAGAACAGTGCAACCTAAAGAGCAAAATCAAATCAAAATTACTTGAAGAGAAAAGTGATTATGAAGATTGTGCACTAGCAGAAAAATCAAATGCATTCTAAATTGAAACAAGCAAATCGGGTCCACAAGGGAATGTCTGTTATAATTGTGGAAAACCTGGTCACATTAAAAAGAATTGTTGGCATGTCCATCAAAGGAACTATCG